GGGTGGTCATTTGTACGGAGGATTGTCATGGTCAGCTGGCTGTTACAGCAGTGTCACTCTCTTGTGACCCACTATTTCCGGGGTGCCTTGATAGTCGAAGCAGACTTTGTGCTGTTGAGGCTAGAGAGGTGAGCAGAGTAAGGCCTTATCCCCCGTTTGGACTTCTCTGTTGACATCTACCCCTTGGCACTCATGTGACCTTATGCAGTTATGAGGGCCGTAAAAACAGTACTAAAACTAAAACTAAGTCTAGCAGCGAGCGTGCGATCGTCTGTCTATCCTACATTTTGTTGACTGGACTTTGTTGTGTATAATTTTAATTCCATATGTAATATTAATATGTTATTGATGGCGGAAATGAACTTCCTTTTTCGAGCTGGTATGGAGCTTGATTTGCCGGGTAGTAAATGGTTTTTTTTCCTGGTAATAAATTTTTGGAGGAAATGTTGGTGGATGCCCTGACAGAACTGTGTTTTTCCTCTCCTTGGTTCAGGCGACTCGACTGGAGGATCAGAGGAGCTCGCTGCCACACGATCTGCCAGCCCCCACCGTTCCCGACGAGGACTTCCTCAGTCTGATCATGCGCGTCCAGTCCAGCCGCATCGACGAGCAGCGCTCCGACCTGCCCCAGAAGAGCGCACCGCCCACACCAGGGAAGAAGAAGAAGAAAAGTACTTCCTAGATTCTATTTCTGAACCAAGTCTCCAGAGGATTGACAGCGGACTTTCAGAGCTGATCTTCTACGCAACTGTACAATATATTCATGCTGGTACAATTGTATGTAAAGTTTGCCTTTTGTGGAGAGAATACGGATTGTGAACAAGATCACGACCCCGGTGCTTTCTTGTTGTGTCTCCATTTTTTAATAACAGTGAAAACAGTTCATAACAAAGAGTGAGCTAAAGAAGAAGTCACAATTTAACCGTTTAAAAAAATGGAGATAAGACAAGAAAGCGCTGGGATCTCGAGATGGTTCGGTTTCCCTGGTTACTGAGCTGCATTCAGACCAAAGATCTGAGTCTGTCAAATTCCTTCTGTCGCATGTAGTCTGTCAATGTCCTTCTGTCGCATGTAGTCTGTCAATGTCCTTCTGTCGCATGCGCCGACCAATTTAATTCTTAACCCTTCCAGCCCTAGCCATTTTTGGGCGCTCCCTAACCCCAGTCCCAGCCAGTACAACAGTGTATCAGAAAAAGAGGCTTTCATTCCTTAAAGTGATGTAGTGTCTTTGTAAAGAGGTTTAGACAATAACATATAACAATGTTTAAAGGTAAATGAACAAATATTATGAAAATTAAATTTTAATTAGGTTCGCTAATTTTGAAAAATGCGCAAATTCAGTACCCCCTGAAACTGAGAATATACACGCTCTTGGGACGGTGGGAGCGCACAGGCCTGGAAGGGTTAAGTCTGACCTGCTAGTGTCGAGACTGGGGCGTCTGACCTGCTGGTATCGAGACTGGAGCGTCTGACCTGCTGGTGTCGAGACTGGAGCGTCTGACCTGCTGGTGTCGAGACTGGAGCGTCTGACGTGCTAGTGTCGAGACTGGAGCGTCTGACCTGCTTGTGTCGAGACTGGGGCGTCTGACGTACTAGTGTCGAGACTGGAGCGTCTGACCTGCTGGTGTCGAGACTGAAGTCGTGCGTCCATGAGACGAAGGGAGTTGACATCTGTCATGTACTTTACTTTATGGAGGCCGTGACATTTGGTCGCTTCTAAGCACAAGGGGGCTATCCCGAAAAATTTTGTTTTGAGAAAATCGAAGGTAACGTTTTTGCCCCTGGTTCAGTTTCTTTAAAAGACACGGAGAGTTTTCTCTAGAACCAAACAAACATCCACATCAATGAAACCAAACTTCTCCTATAGGTAGGGCAACTTTTGGTATAGATCAAGATTTCTGGAAACCCCCCAAATCTGGGTTAGCCCGCTTGTCCCTAAAAGCGACCATTTCTTCCGTTTGGTGAACCTGGGAAAGTTCTGCCAGGCGAATTTTATTCTATCTCTTTTTTTGTGTTGAAATGGTTAAATCTTATTATATTAGTACGTGGATTCAAATTTGGTGTGAAAACATACCAAGTGTGATAGAATTGTGACCTAAGTTTATCAAATTACCGAAACTGACTGGTTGTGTGACCTGAAGAGACACGTGGTGTTGTTTTACCACGACAGCTGCGGTCATACACTGTCAGTAGCCAGCACAGATGGACGCCTGTCTTTGGTCTAAATGCGCTGGTAGAATGTGGATTGGGTGACTTACGGCAAAGATCATACATAGCAAGATAGTTCACTCCTCTCTTTGAGCCAATTAAAAAAGTGTCCTCAAAATTCGGTGGCGCCCTCTTCGAAAAAGTGCGGACTTTGCAATAAGGGTTACCCTACTTGTGTGAAAAACAATAAGAGTGAAACTAACAAACTGTGTTATTCCTGCAACAATCTGTGCCTATTCCTATTCTTCTTCTGGAGAAACGAAAGAGAGCTTCAAACAAAGACTGCAGCGCAATTTGAACCAATGCGCAGAAATGGGCAGACACTTTTTTGGCTGAGTGAACTATCTTGTTATGTACGATCTTTGGCTGAGTGAACTATCTTGTTATGTACGATCTTTGCGTACGGCGCTGGTAGAATGTGGATTGGGTGATTTACTGCACCGGTTTTCTCTATCGTACGAGGAGCAACATGATCTCAGTGAGCACGGCCGAGGCTACTGCTTGGTCCAATGAGACGAGAGTCGAACAATCAACATGTAAAACTGCCCCAAAAGACTTATGTTTGAAGCAGAGAATCTCACTGTTTCTGTTCCTGTAAATTAGGTTATTGTTCCGTTTTCCGTGTAGAAGATTCTAGATCAAATGAAAGTTTGACTTTTGAGAGAGGTTTCCCATTATCTTTTTCATCAGTTTCAGTTTTCTCTTGACTGGTGGAGTGGCCTGTATTGATCATTCAAAGAAATTGGACCTCCTCTTCCTTCTTCTTCTCCTCGTATCCCTGCTAGAGCTCAGGGATTGAACCCCAGACCTCTGGGTTGACAGGCAAACGCCGTACCTGTTGAGCTGGTGGGCCCCCAGAGATTGGTTTTTGTAACTTATCAAAGCAAATATTTACTGGAGACCAATATTGATGACAAGCAGAGCTGACCTACTCTACGGTTGTACATGGTTTTTGTAACTTATCAAAGCAAATATTTACGGGAGCTGAATACTGATGACAAGCAGAGCTGACCTACTCTACGGTTGTACGTACTCATGGCACAATCTCAATTGGGTTTTTTTTCAAATGGACAGGCTTTAAGGTGATACCAATAACTCCATATATGTCCCAAAATTGACAGACGCCTGATTCCACCGCGTGGTGACAAATGTGGTCCTTACGTGACCAATAAATGCAGAGTGCCAAGGACGACGCGCCCACACGTTTTGTGCCATGAGAGGGACGCTGATGCTTGTTGAGACGCACAGCACACTGTCCTAGTTTCCTATTTACGATCTTTGCATCGGTTTTTTTTTTAAACACGAAAGTTTCCTATTTAAGATCTTTGCTTCATTTTTTTTTTTTTTTTTTACACGACAGTTTCCTATTTATGATCTTTGCGTCAGTTTTTTTTTTTTAACACGACACAGTTTCCTATTTACGATCTTTGCGTCAGTTTTTTAAAAACATGATGCAGTTAGTTTCCTATTTTCCTATTTACGATCTTTGCATCAGTTAAAACAAAAGTCCTTTTGTTTTTCCTTGTTGTTCAAATATCTAGTATAATCTATATATATTATTTGGGGGAAAGAACTAAGACTAAGGCTCCCTATTATGAAGACAAAAAATAACTCCTTCGTGTTTTTCTTTTTTTCTTTTAATCACTTTTTTGTTAGTTATTTTTTATGTATATTTGGCAAATGGAACAAATATGTTGAAGTGAACAACTTTTATTCCCACTGTGTTTTTACTGTTGTCTTTTACATAAATTTATTAAAAATTATTCCATTGTAATTGCTATTCTATTTACAGCACCATTTCTTTGTTCCCTCACTTTGTTCAGATCTGAGTTGTTCCTCTCATACTCCGGGTGTCGTGTCCTGGAATTAGATATTACTTGTACTGAGCACTGCAACGTTTGGATTGGGATAAAGAGTAGTATTGCTTTAGGTTTTTCTTTGTGGTTTCTATTTCTACAATTTGTGCATAACAGGAGAAAATGTTTATATTTTTTTGTCTTGATGACAGAAGAAGTTCAAAATGAAAAGCTAAAAAATGGTTAGCAAGGGAGGGGTATAGCATGAACAAAATTTTGAACATTTAAAAATAAAACTTCCTTTTTTTGTTAGAATATATGGCAGACGGATAGCCGAATATACAGACGGATAGCCTACTAGAAGCGAGAAAGCTGTTGCCCGAAGTCCCCAAGCACTGAACCTTCTTGTTGTTTTATTATGTCATTTTAGTCACTTTATTCTAGTATTTATAGCAATAACAGCTGACACTGGCCTGCAACTTTGGGGGTTTGTTTGTGTTTGTTTATTCTTCTTCTGGCATAAATCTGTTACTGTATGTTGTCAGTCAGTGTGGCATAAATCTGTTACTGTATGTTATCAGTCAGTGTGGCATAGATCTGTTACTGTATGTTGTCAGTTTCTCTGGCATAAATCTGTTACTGTGTGTTGTCAGTCAGTGTGGCATAAATCTTTTACTGTATGTTGTCAGTCAGTGTTGAGAGACCCCTGATGGCTCCTCTCGGGCAATACATGTGAGGCATCGTGGTGAAATCAGGCACTCGTCAAAATAATGTTTTTACTCTGCACCTTTTAGCATTTCCATTTAACCCTTTCCACTCCCCACACAGCGTGCAGAACACGCAACGCTTATCCCCGTGGACCTGGATACAGGTGCGGTTCACGCTATATCACACCGGCGTCCCCTGGGGACCAGGACACAGGTTCGGTACATGCTATTTCACATAGGCGTCGACCAGCGCCCCTTGGGGAAACGGAAAAGGTACGGCTTCTTACCGTCGCCGATCGGCGTTCCGTCGGGGCAAAGTGTTAAAAACACCTTTCTGTTTTGATTTTATTGAAAAATGTTGATTAGCGGCACAACAAATGTTACTTTCCAGTTTCTTAGGACTCTCAAACAATGGACGTTACTAAACTGCGGCGGCCATTTTCTCGCTAATTTTAACTGTGAAACCAGGTGACCCCCTTCCTCACCTCTTTCAAGTGCAAATACATCTCAACTTTTATTTAACGTAGTTGGATATTTTATTCATCCAAAGCAGAACAGATAAACAAGCTTTAAGATGAGACCTGGCGCTCCTTATTATGACCTTATGCAGTTGCGAGTGCCGTAAAACCTTACTGAAACCTAAGTCGAGGCCAAAAACTGACGAGTGCCGGATCCCACATCGTTGTTCCACAGATATGTCTTTCATTGGTTCGCATGATGATTGTGCATGTGTCGTCTTATGTTTTTTAAAGTATGTTAAAGAAAGTTTTGACAGGTATATAATCTGCCTGTGATGTTTGGGATACAGCAGTGCAGCCTCTCTTTAACGACATCGTCGGGACCAGAAAAAAATGTCGTTATATAGAGAGGCGACCAAAAATATTACTAATGATACGTAGGAAAAATTGAGGACCTGGGCACCATGTCGCTATACAGAGGATGTCGTTATATCGAAGGTCGTTATAGAGAGGCTGCGCTGTACGTAATCTATGCCTCCAACTGGTTGAATCTTGTCCTGTTTTTTGTTTTGTTTTGTTGGGTTTTTTTTTAATTCTTTCACTTTCAGGTAATGTGTTCAAACGTTGTTGAAATACCCTGCATTTGTAACTGAAAGTGAAGGGTCTGGAAACTGTTTAAAAAATTACATTTTTTCCCATCATTCTCATCCCAATCCCTATCGCTTTACATATAATTTTGACTTACTTCGCCATTGTTTTATATACGGTACATATTATTATGATATATATGATAAATCGGATGTTTTCTACTGACAAGTTTAGCACAGACATGTTTGTACAGCTGAGTATGGCCGTTGTTTCTGTAATGTTTGAGCTGCATAATGAATGATAACGGCTCTTTAGTCTTTACTAATCTGTCATCTGTCTGGGCTCAGTTAACACCTTCTGGCTGTGGGTGGTTGGCGGGTGCTCTGGTGTGGTTTGCTTCTTCTTTCCTATCAAACATCTATCGTCCTTATCTCCCCTTCATCTTTTTTATGTTTGTTACTCTCTTGTAACAGCTCTAATCTTCTGGCGCTCATATGACCTTATGCAGTTGCAAGCGCTAAAAAAACCCTACTAAACTAAAACTAAAACTAAACCTTCTGGCTTTTCTTTTTTCTTTTGGTTTTTAAAAAAAATGTTGGTTTTTTAAAATGTTTTTCTCCTCCTGTTATAATTCTCTTGCAGTAGTGATTTTTTCTTCTTCTTTTTTTTTTTGGTCTTTGCCGAAAAAGAGCAGAACTACTGGTACATTGAAAAATATTCTTGAGTATTCTTTGAGGTGTGAGGTCACTTTCCACTTGAGTATTCTTTGAGGTGTGAGGTCACTTTCCACTTGAGTATTCTTTGAGGTGTGAGGTCACTTTCCACTTGAGTATTCTTTGAGGTGTGAGGTCACTTTCCACTTGAGTATTCTTTGAGGTGTGAGGTCACTTTCCACTTGAGTATTCTTTGAGGTGTGAGGTCACTTTCCACTTGAGTATTCTTTGAGGTGTGAGGTCACTTTCCACTTGAGTATTCTTTGAGGTGTGAGGTCACTTTCCACTTGAGTATTCTTTGAGGTGTGAGGTCACTTCCACATTTTGTTAGGAGGTGGAATTTGCCATTTGTTTTGTTCAAGTCAGTGTAGACAATCATAGAAATCCTCTTGTGACCTTTGTACCTAACCTAAGGGGGGTAGTACAGTTGTTTGACTGTTTCCATATGTCTGTATGGTTGTATTGTTTTTGCTAATCAAATTTTTTTTAAATATTTGTTTGTTTGTATTGTTGGCCTGCATTATATTCATATACCTTAGCTCAATGACAAATTATCTAATTTCTGAGATAGCTCGTCTCACGTCTGCGAAATTTTCCTGGAGCATAACTTGCAACATCATGTCTTAAGATTGTGTTTTTCCCATCACAGTTAATAATTAACAGATGGGTAGGTATTCTGAAATCTCTAGTTCATTACCTTATCATCTCACTGATTTTGACTTTTCAGCGTGAACTTCCAAATTGCTCCATGGTTATCATGCAGGAAAAGTCGTCTCTGCCTGTACAAAGCAAAAGATTTATGTTGAGTGCACATGTGCAGTAAAACTTTGTGGGAACGGATTGAGACCAGAACATTCAAATCATTTCGGTGACTTGAGTTTCCTCCTAACAGATGTTTCCTGAACTTGCCCAGTGCCTCCACACACACGTGTCAGGACTCAGTGCTGTCGTACTCTGACAAAACTCCTTTTTCTTATTCACTGCAGTTTTGAGAAATCAATGATTTTCAGTTTTCTTATAATAATAGGCCTTTTGCCATCTCTTGAGCACAGGGAATGACATTTCTTTTCAGGGTTCGAGATCAACCGTTGATGTACTGGGCCGGAGCCGTACTGGGCAAACTAGTTTCAATGTTATCAGAAAAACGAAAAAAGCTGATTTCTCGAAAGTGCTGTGAATAAGAAAAAGGCGTTTTGTCAGAGTACGGCAGAGTGGAATCAGAGGCTTGTCAATTTTGTCGACATATATGGAGTCAATGGTAGCGTCTTAAAGCTTGTTCATTTGTCTTAATTTTGATGGGGAAAAAAAGCCTCCTACCTATCTATCTTGACTAGAAGTTAAACTATTTGCTGTTTGAATGAGGTAAGGTGGGTGGCTTAGTGTCGGAGGTAAAAATACAGAAAAATTGGACGCTAGTTGGAAGCCAAAGTTTGGTGAATTCCAAAGCTTGAGTGTCCTTGGAAAGTTGCAAATGTACTTTTTATTTTATTGTGCCTTTCATCCATGTTTTTCAGTAATATCCACTCAAATCTGTATTTTGGTGTTTTTTTTTCAATGAATTGAAATGGTGGTGATCCCCATCCCTCAAAACTGGATAGACACTACCCAATGGACGTAAAAATGTCGGTAACTTTGATTTCATTATTTGGACGAGTGCCTGATTTCACCACCATGTCATGCATTTTTTCTATTCATTTTGCCAAGACGGTTGGGAAACGATTGTGTTTTCTTACTCTGACTATACTACTGTAAGGGTTTGTTTGTTTGTTTGTTTGTTTGTTTGTTTGTTTGTGTTCTTTTCCAGTTGCAGATGGTTATCTTCTGACAGGTGAAACCGGCGTCTGTGGTGTAGTGTGTAGTGGTTAGGCACTTGTCTGTTGCAAGCAGGAGACCCGAGTTCGATTTCCATGTAAGGAGAATGTTTTAATGGACTGTCGCGGTCTTTCTGCCAGGATGTTGTATCCTTCTCCCCCCTCTGCCCAAGTTTGCCCTGACGGGCTGTGTCGGAGGCTCACCTTCTAAATTGTCGCTTTTAAGCACAAGGGGGCTATTCCGAAAAATGCTGTTTTGAGAAAATCGAAGGTAAAGTTTTTGCCACTTGTTCCGTTTCTTTAAAAGACAAGGAGAGTTTTCTCTATAGCCAAACAAATATACACACCAATGAAACCAAACTTCTCCTATAGGTAGGGCAATGCCCACTTTTGGTGTAGGTCAAGATTTCTGGAAACCCCCGAAATCTGGGTTAGCCTGCTTGTCCTTAAATGCGACCAAATGATGGAAAATGTGTTGATGGGAGCGTAAAAACAATTGCGAATTGGAAATACATGACAAGTTAAAGTAAATGTTTCTATAGCAGGAGTGTGGGTGTAACGTGCATGCGCTTTCCCCGTGCGGATTGTACAGGTGTTCATTGGTGCTGTATCCATAATTTGAGCATAACGCGTAACTGTTCGTCTGGTGCAGCATACATTGCTTGCAAAATTTACGCTTTCGTAGTTACTATTACTAGTATTTGTTAGTTTTTAAAAATCCCATATGTCAAAAAGCAGAGGTAACAGTTCTGCTGCTATTAACTTTCCATTATATAAAATAGATTTTTCTGACAAACTGAAGAAACGGCTTTTTACAATGGTGGGGAAGACATGAGTGGAGCACGGAGTGATGAGCACATGGGAGTAGATCTACTAGCTGTGGTTCTTGTTGCTGTTGTTGCTGTTGTTTGTTTCTTTCACTCTTACTACTAGCTTCGTACAGTGGGATTCGCTTCAACCGAAAGCAGCAGTAAGCTGAATGAAAATGAAATCCACGATTTTGCTGTTCTATTTGAGCAACCTCTTTAGATTTAGACGGAAAACCCAGCTTAACCCTAGAAAATGGTGTTGTCCGGCAGATTTTGGTTGAAGCGTACTCCTCTGTATCTTTGGAATTTAGTCAAATAAATGTGAGGCGTGCTGACAAAATGAGTTACTTCCCGCAATCCTCAAATGGAGATGTGTTGGCCAAAAATCAACACTAGGGTCAAATTTGTAGATGTTCTATTGATGCCATATTAAGTATAACATGCCTTTTATTATTTCATACTTATAAATTGTAAAAGCTTCACCTATAAGAGCGCTCAAATCGGAGAAGTAGCTCCTTCTGTCAGCACGCTTGACAAATGTCCAATGGATCTCATGCAGCAGCCAGTCGCTTGTCTTGTCCTTTTGGTGCACGGAATCGCAGTTTGATGACCAGCGGGCAATCCCCCCATGTCGGAGAAGGAGTGCAGTTCCTATCATGTCTGTTCATCCGTTTGTATAATGTAGCATCAGTGAATCAAGTGTTTACCTTAGTTTAGTACAAAGTGTGTATGTTCATTAAAGAAACACTTTAACAAGAGATGTGCGTCTTCGTACTTGTCCGAGTGTCAATTTTTTAGGGACATCTTACTATTCTAATGTCTCCCCCCCCCAAAATGTGATGCTAGGGAACTGTGTTATGGTCAGGAATATGTGCATGCTGCCAGAGCTTAATTTGCATAATGTACATGATGTGTATGAGGGTGCGGTGGCGGAACGGTTAGTGCGCTCGTCTTCGAAGCGGAAAGTCCGGGTTCGAGCCTCGGTTTGGACATGGATATTTTTCGCCCCCTCCAGCCCACCCAGCAGTAATGGGTACCTGACTTCGAGTTGGGGAAGTAAAGGCGGCGTGGAAAGGAACTGGCCATCCTACCACAATATGCCGAAAGGCCCAGGAAGTTGTCTCACTAACAAAGCTATCCCCAATGTCCGGATCGGATGCTGGAACAACTTTACTTTTTACATGATGTACAGAGCAGAAGTACGGGTGTTTACACCGGATGCTGCTGACTGGTGGTTGGTAGGTCCGACTTGTTTTCTTTCCCTCTGCTGGTTCTGTCTGTTTTGCTGTTTTCGTGGGTGGTTGGCCGGTGCTCTGCTGTGGTTTGCTCCTTCTTTCCTATCAAACATCTATCGTCCTTATCTCTCCTTCTTTCCTATCAAACATCTATCGTCCTTATCTCTCCTTCTTTCCTATCAAACATCTATTGTCCTTATCTCCCCTCCTTTTTTTATGTTTGTTACTCTCTTGTAACACCTCTAATCTTCTGGCGCTCCTATGACCTTATGCAGTTGCGAGCGCCGTAAAACCTTATACTACTACTACTAAAACCTCTAGTAAAACTAAACTTGCTTTTTTTCCTTGCCCTTTTGGCTGTTGTTCTGGTGTCAGTTTCCTTCTCTTTGATCTACTACGGGGTGCCCAGTACGGCGGGTCGCTTGTTTTCAGGCGACCGAGTTGGGCAATGGACCCGACCCGCTGATCACATCCATATATAATGGTACTTACTTATAACTACCCTTTACGCTTACTCACTTACTACCCGTTACGCCATCTGGCGTTTACTCACTCACTTACTTACTTACTACCCGTTACGCCATCTGGCGTTTACTTTTACTTACAACCCGTTACGCCATCTGGCGTTTACTTACTTGCTTCTTACTGCCCGTTACGCCATCTGGCATTTACTTACTTACTTACTTACTCACTTACTTACTTACTTACTTACTTACTTACTTACTGACTTACTCACTAACTTACTTACTTACTTACTTACTTACTCACTTACTTACTTACTTACTCACTTACTTACTTACTTACTTACTTACTTACTCACTAACTTACTCACTTACTTACTCACTTACCTACTTACCACCCATTACACCATCTGTCGTCTAGGGCAGCAACAAAGGATCTCCAGCTCTGTCTGTTTTGGGTCAGTTTGGTCAGCGTTCCCCACGAACGATTCCAGGACTTCATTTCAGACTCTCTCTCCATCTTCTCCTTGTTATTATGGTGGTCATGTTCTCTTGCCTACATTTCCGTAGAAGTAGAAGATCTGCGTGGGAAATCTTGTCAGGCCAGGAGATTCGGAGGATTTGGCGTAAGCCGGTTGTATGAAAAGAACTTAGCCATAATAGGCACCCCCTAGTATAACAAAGCTGGACTGGAAAGGAGTTGGTCGCATCACTGAGCAATTGTCTTTGACTTTGATCGTGTCCATGAATCCAGTTTTGTCTCAGTTCAGTTAAAGTTAAAGTTTTACGGCACTTGCAACATAGACAGCATATAAGTGCCGAAGATTAGAATTAGATTAGAGGTGTAACTAAGTTTACTAAGTACTAGAGGTCCAGAATTTTTTTGTGGATGGTTGGCGGGTGCTCTGGTGTGGTGTGCTCTTTCTGTCCTATCAAACATCTATGGTCCTTATCTCTCCTTCTTCTCTTTTATGTTTGTTGCTCTCTTGACTCTTGTAACTCCTCTAATCTTCTGGTGCTCTTATGCAGTTGCGAGCGCCGTAAAACCTCTACTACTAAAAACTCTAATCGTCGGCACTTATATGACCGTATTGTGTTGCAAGTGCCGTAAAACTCTTACTAAACAACCAAAACATAGATCTAATCTTCTAGCCAAGTACAGCTGACGGTGTCCAAGATGGCCACAATACAAAACGGATCGAAATTGTGGCAGTGTCTGCGTCAGTGCCAGTGTCAGTGTGGGCATAGACATTACCAAACATTAGGCAGAGAAAAGAAAACTGAGGAATATATTCTGCGGTTGGGTATTGAACCTGAAACATCCAAACTACACATGTCAATGAATGCTACCTACAGCACTGTCTCTATCCATCTTGAACCTGAAACATCCAAACTACACACGTCAATGAATGCTACTTAATACTTACAGCACTGTCTATCTATCCATCTTGAACCTGAAACATCCAAACTACACATGTCAATGAATGCTACGAACAGCACTGTCTATCTATCCATCTTGAACCTGAAACATCCAAACTATACTTGAGTAAGGACGTCTCTGTTGACATTTGACATCCATCCCTTGGCGCTCATATGACCTTATGCCGTTGCGAGCGCCGTAAAAGCTCTACTAAAACAGACA